AAAATCATTGGGTTTCTTGAGGAGTGAGATACTTAGCCTCAATGTATCCTTCCACAGAATGTTAATTATAAATGGGAAAATATAACATTGTAGTGGAGATCATCTGAGAAAACTGAGGCCACATGATTAAAGTTAACACAACCCTTATCGGAATAAACTGGCATGATGTGCCTTCTGTTTTGGTTTTCGGTGAAGGGCCAGTAAGGAGATCTAAACCTGTGACCTTGGCGTTACCAGCACCACACTCTTCCAAGTGAGCTAACTGGCCAGCCCCCATGATGTGCCTTCTGATGTAAAGCACCAGAACTTAGTATTCATGTATAACTTGATTTGAAGGCTGAGGAAACAATTAGAAAAATCCAAATTAAGGGACTCTTTAAACAGCTAGCATGCACCCTTCGAAGTGTCAATGTTGTGAAGGATAAAGGCGAAGGAATTGTTCCAAATTAAAGGAAACTTAAAAGATGCGACAACTAAATGCAATGGGTGATGGGGGGTGGGAATTACCTATTAAGACACTGGTCAATTTGAATACAGACTGTACATTAAAATATTACACCAATCTTGTATGGCCTGAATTTGAGAATTATACTGTGGTTGCACAAGAGAATGCCCTTATCCTTAGGAGATACAAACTGAAATACTTAGAAGGGGTGTGTTTGCAATTTAATTTCTAGTGGTTCAGCAAATAATACATTTACAATATATAGAAAGCAAATTTCAGTGGTGAATCCAACTGAGGGGTACACAAGAGTTCAGTATACCACTCTTGCAACTTTGTAAGTTTAAACCTTTCTCAAGGTTCTCAAAATAAAGTTTCTTAATAAAACCTCTCTCAAGACTTGCTATTTCCTGCTATTGGGATGACTCTCATTGCCTTGTTAAGGCATCCAGAAAGAGCTCCATTAAATACAATAAAATCCTTAAAATAGTGCCCTGGCACTCAGTGAACAATATAACTCTAAAACTCTATAATGTAACTCTATTTTCTCTTCGAAACATCATCTTCTAATTACGAATCAAAATCTACTAATCCCAGGCCTGCTGAAAAGGGATACAATAAGCAAATTATAACTGTTAAGGAAACCTGTGGTTGGGAAGTAATTACCGCATAAAACCTTCTATAAACTGTCCCCAATTTCTCCCCCCACCTCCATCTCCCAGAAAGCAGAGTATGCTTTGAACCCACTGGATTGTTACCCCAAAGACTGTCATGACCTTTCTACCTAAGGAGGGTCATCTGAAGGAAATAACCTCGAAAATTATTACTTCCAGCTACAGCAAAACAGATTACTTCCTGGAGAGTTGACATACCAATAATAAACAAAGGCATTATGCTTTTTAAAACTTTATTTCAACATAACTATGCTTACAGAAATACACTCATATTGGTTAATAGATGCAATTTAAGTTTAACTTATCCTACACAATTTGGACCAAAAACTTGGTACACGGTTGAGGATTTTTTTAAAAAAGGTTTTGCAATCTTGTTTATTTTTATCTATTACAAATGTATAAAAGATCCTCCATCAAATGCTGCTAAAGAAGGCAGCAAGAACCTTGAGAAATTTACCTTTGGTTTGCCTCAGAAAAATAACATGTATTGCACTATAAAAGCTTATAAAATTGGTGCAACAAAACATTGTTGTAATGTTTCAATGCCAGTTTACAAAGTTCAATAACTAATGAATGTTGAAGGGGGTGGAAGAGAGCCTATATACACACGTGAAACTGTAAAAGCTATCTGATTTATTAATATTGCATGTAGATTGTAAATCTACACAAACCAAGATTCAGATAATTTCTTAAATCTGAATTAATACTATCAGCTCACTTTATCTGCTGAGGTCAACAAGGAAACTCAACACACTAGCTGTAAATTTTTCTGACTTATGCCAAAAAAAAAAATTATATTTCCTCCCCAGCTTTTCAGTCCAGAAGTATACTACATGTAGACAAGGTATTCCTTCCATTGTCAACATTCATGGGGTGACATGCGATGAGGTCTACTTGGGTTTTAATCGGAGCTCAGATGCAAAATAGTCCCCAAAGTTAATGACCACATGACTTTAGAAGTGACTCTAAAAAATAAGATGGTCCTTCTTGGAAGACTAGAGCAAAACATCCAACCATCGATGTAAGAGGCCTTATTAAAAAAATGCAACCCCTTGTGAACTACACCTTAAAAAAAAAAAAAAAAGGAGAAAAAAAGTAGCCCCCATAACAAGCAGCTCTGAAAAAAAGAGAAAATATATAACTTAAAATAAAACCCATGGGAATACAAGTTCAAACAATAGTTAAAAGAGATTCATTTTCATAAGACTATCTAGGATTAGGCTTATAATTACTCTAGTATTTCAAGTGTATCACTAGTCACTAAACATCAATTTACAAATAACATGTTCTCTTTTTTTCCTTTATCAAGAGAAAATTCTAGTTTCAATTCTATCCAGTGGGGGGAAGAGGGGACTAGAAAATAAAAAGATTCAAACAGTTCCATGCAAATATCACATTTTTCAAATGGAAGAACTCCCAACTGGACCAGAAGTTCATATTACTAATATACTTTTCATTGAAACTTTTAATAAGTACAACAAATACATGGCATTAAGGTTCAGAACCTAATATAGGCCTGACAATCAAGTCCTTGTTTTCTGGAAGAAAGGCCTCAATTCCCAATCAATCTCCAGTAACAATGTTCTTACAGATCAATTTAATAAGGGGTTTTAATTTCCTTTGTATTTTTGTTTTCAGCATTCTAGTTTTAAAGACTAGATTAACAATTAATTAAATTCCCTAGAAGGCAATTTTTTCTTTTTGCAGTATGAAAGAATCCACAAAAACCTCTTCCCCAAATTTATTCCCAATCTCCAATCTGTGCTTAAGATGGATCTTTTTCTATAACGTAAAAGGTAAATTAGATAAAATGTACCCATGAACATTAATACTAGTTGTTAGAAGCATTTAACTAGCTTTATAATTTAAATTTTAAAACATAAATATTTGCAGCTTGATTTTCTGTTGACAATGATTGTCGGAGCCTAAAATTCAACATTTACAAATTCGCATTCATGCACACAAAACACACACCATTATCACACAACTTACTCTTCATGTCTTGCGAGCATCTTCTGCTTCTTTAAATCTTTGGCCTCCCAGTCAATTCCAAGTTCAAACAACTTTTAACTCAAACTTCACTCTCAGATTTTTAACAAGTTTTCCACCCACATCAATGCTTTCCCTAATCTTTCATGTTGCACTGCCAAAATCTGAAACCTGCCTCAAAGAGACCAGATTTTTTTTTAAAAAATGAAATACAAAGAGGTTATTTCAAAATAGAGCATAGGAGGGCAGAATTTAAGATTTCCTATGGGGATCATACTTTATTTTTCTGCAATGAATAATTGCTACTAGTAAGAAAAATCCTGAGTTGGATTCTTTCATACTCTTTGGCAACTGGCCAAAGAATCTACAAAAAAGTTTTGGAGTATACGCCCTTTTTCATATAAAATGCCCCCATAGGAACACCAGGACAGCTGCAATTCATTTGAGGCCTCACCTGTAGAAAGAGGCTGTCACAGGGACAGCCAGGACACCCACGTATTTGTGGAGATCCCTGAGAAAGTATGATTTTTAAAAATCTGGACTGTACTTGGTTTCACCAGCCTTTTTCATTGTATTCCAAAGAAGTTGCTGCTAATCTGTCAGCACTCATGCTACCTATCTTATCCTAGGTTTGCCATACAACAGGCTATGGCTTCAGAATCTCCCAAGTGATATTCTGTGAAACTTGAATAATTTTGTCTCTTAATTCCAGGTTTACAGTTTCCAAATATCACTTACAGTTCTTTACTCAGTTGAATAGCCATATGGACACCAGTCATCTATGAGAAAAGGTTTTCCTCAGAGATATGATGATTTAACACTCAACAATTAAGAAATAGCTGTACCAAAACACACAACAAAAATAACTGACAATTGGTATTTGAGATAATAATTTGTTCAGTATGGAACTTAATTGTTTGCTCATTGCAAAATCAAAACTGAGAGCTGTGAATTTACTATATCCATTCAAAATAAATAACATATGAAATACAGATTCTGGCATACATATAAGATGTGAAAATCAAAATCAGTGGATTGAACCTGCATGTTTCATTTGCTCACAAACTTGCATACACTATTACTCTATTCTGCAAAAAAGACAATTGCAGCAAAGAAAAAGAAAACTGCCCCTTTTGCAAACTAGCCTAAAAGCATCCCTCCCAAAGAGGCAAAATAAACATGCATATATGTATAAAGTGTTACTGTTCAACACAAATGCTATTTCTAGAAAAAAATTTAACTGCATAGGTTAAAAAAAAAAAAAACAATGTGCAACATCTTAAGCCATTAAAGCACCAAAATAAAAAAACACACACACCAAAAAATCACTGTTTTTATGACAATTAACATACACATAAGAAATATTGATCAAAACTCAGGAAGTAAATACCTGGACTGATACAATGTCCACTGTTGGAAGAATTTTTCTTCAATTTAAATGTCTTTTCTCATCTCTAAAAAAAACAAAAAAACCTTAAAGTGCTAACTTTATATAAAGCAGGCAAATTCTTCAAGTAATTTGCTATTAAGTAAGCCAAATTTTATAGAGCTAAACAAGGAACTAAGAATAATCTAAAGCAAAACAGGAAGATAGACATGCAGAAAAAACTGACAAGTTGTAGCTGGACAATGCAAGAGAATGCTATTATACCATCTTGGCCTTCTCATTTCAATGAAACACATAAGCTAACAGATTTAAGTATCTGCTGGTTTAGTACACTAACTCCCTTGGATTTGCTAAAATCTATACAACAATCAACAGGTATACATAAAATCCTAAGGAAAAGAATGCCACTTAAAAAATCAATATTGGACACTCATTAAAGCAATCTTAAACAGTTGTCTACTACTATATAAATGAATATAAAATGTAATAGATCTTACAAACTAAGAACTGAAACCATGTCCGAAGTTTAATTACTCCTGCCCTTTAGCTGCTTTTTCAAGGAAGTACACATTAACCAAATGGCGGTTGAGGTGTTTGCTGTAATCTTTTTCCTTTCTAAAAGAACGATCACAAAAGATACAAACAAAATCTCCATCCACCACTTTGACTGCTAAGGCTTCCTTTGCATTTTTTCTATTAGTTTCTTGTGGAACTGGCCGAGCCCCATGCAATCCAGAATCATCACTACCCTCTGACATGTTGTCACTAAGGTCGCTTCCATCATGACTGTGGATGCCTTCATCTTCATCAATTTCCTGAGACTCATTTTCTGCTATGCTAACAGGAGGCGACACCAGAACAGTTTTGGACCCTGCTTCCTCTTCTTCTATTGGTGGGGGAAGAAGCAATGGTGAAACTCGTTCTTTAACTGCTGAGTTTTTACCAGGGAGATTCTCTGTTGTGTTCTGATCAGTGTCCGCTTCCATTTCACAAAGCACAGCGTCAGTCTGATGTTTACCATCTAAAGTTTCACTCTCTGCCATATTCAAGTTTTCTCCAAAGGATGAAACACGGGTAGATTCCTTGATACCAGCAGCAAGACCAGCTAGTCTCTTACCTGCCTCTTCTGCTTCTACTTTCTGAAAAAGGGCTTCTTTATTTCCTTCGCTCTCTTGGTCTTTTGGCACCTCTTCTTTTAAGTCTTCCTTTGGTAACAGTGGTGATGGTGGTAAGAGATCCTGTGAGTTTGCAATTTCCTTTAGAAGCTGGCTATCTTTAACAGGCACTAAACCAACTTCGATAAGGACCTGCTCTTTCTGTGCCATTTCACTCTGCACGTCGGATTTTTCCTTTTTATTATCTTTTCGGGAAGGAGACTTTCTGGGAATTGGCTCCATGTGAAGAGGAGGCTGTATGGGAGGAGGGGGCTCCTTGTGAACATCCTCCATCTGAACAACCTCCGTCTGAACAGGTTCCTTCTGAGCAACTTTTATCTGAACAGGCTCCATCTGAGCAGGCGCCATCTGAGCAACCTCCATGGGAGGCAGCAGTTCCATCTGAGCAGGCTCCTTCTGAACAACCTCAATGGGAGCAGGCTCCATGGGAAGAGGAAGCTCCGTCTGAGCAGGCTCCTTCTGAACAACCTCAATAGGAGCAGGCTCCATGGGAAGAGGAAGCTCCATTTGAGCAGCCCCCTTCTGAACAACCTCCATGGGAGCAAGTTCCATGGGAAGGGGCAGCTCCATTTGAGCAGGCCCTTTCTGATCAGCCTCCATGGGGACAGGCTCCACGGGAGGAGGCTCCACCTGAACAGGCTCCTTCTGAGCAGGTCCCTTCTGAGCAGCCCCCTTCTGAGCAGGCTCCTTCTGAGCTGGCCCCCTCTGAGCAGGCTTGCTGCTTTTTTTACTTGATTTATTTTTCAGAGGTTTCTTCTTTGTACTTTTTTTCATGCAGGTATTTTGCTTTTTATTCTCTTCCACTTTGCTGTCACCCTTTGGCAATTCCTGACTCTTTTTGGATTTGTTTTCTACCTTCTTTTTCTTTTTTGTTACAGGTTCCTCAACATTCACAGGATCATGTAAGGAATGGGTTTCAGCTTCCATCTTCCTTTTGCTTTTCTTGGTTTTACAGGATTTTTCTGAACTATTTCCTGTATATACATCCATTTCTTTAGTCTCTGTTGCTGATTTGCGAGTTCTGGTAGTCACTTGGATCGTTGAGACGTTACTACAAGGCTTTTTCTCTTTTGAAACATTTTCTCTTTTCTCTGCTTTTACAGACTTCTCATTTTTCTTTCCAGCCACATCCCCCTTTATTTTTGTCTGCTCTGTTTCTGTTTTTTCATTGGTAATATTGTGATCAGGCAAGTCAGCCTCTCGCTTTTTGGTTTTCTTTAGTTTTACTTTTGAGACATCCATTGTTTTATTAGGACAAGTAGGATGCTTGGATTTGAAATGATACTGTAGATTACACTTCTTGGAAGCTGCATAGTCGCATACAGGGCAATTAAACTGCCGTGGGTTAACATGTAGCTCTACATGTTTTTTGAAATTACTTCTATCTGCTGTTTTGTAGTCACAGTGTGGGCAATTAAGAGGTTTAGGCCCATTGTGAACCTGTCTTGCATGGCGAGTTACTTCATGTTGATTAGAGGCCACATAACTGCACTGATCACACTTAAATGGCTTCTCACCTGAAGGTAAACAACAGGTGTTAGAAAAGACACAGATATAGACATAAATTTAAGATTTATTAAAATATACATATAAGGAATTATATATGTAAAATAACCACAGACTATTGAAAAGACTGTATCATGCACCTTACATTTACCATATTTATTTGTATAACTTTTCTCTATCCCTTGACATTGACTCTCAAACCACAAGGAGGAATAATTTTCTCAGTCAACCATCATCTTCAAAAATGTTCAAGTTAGGGCTCTTAAGCACTGTCAAAGAACAGATATTCATCAAGAAGTACACAATTATTGGCAAAGTTCAGTTGGACTCTGGATGTTAATTTTGGGGAAAAGCCACTCAGAAAATTATCAATTCTAAAATTTGTTTATTGTTAAGTCAAATGTATAATGGAGTAGAATATAAAATCCCAACATTTGTAAGACAAATCTTAAGAGAAATGTCTTCCATCCTGGGCTATACTCCCAGACTTTAGGTACAAAATTATTAAAACTCTGCTTTATTTAGCATGAGGGAGCAGAGGGAGCAAAGGGCTTTCTCTTTAAATGTAACACTTTCGTCCATCATGGCAAAAGCTGAGTAAAGTTTTACTCAGCAAACTTGATCGATTTTTTCCCCTACCTTTTCCATAAAATGGGCAAAAAAACCAGGTAAATGAGAAGTGGCATACAAATAGATATGGTATATAAAATAAGCAAAGTGATAATCACAGATACATACAAAACCAGAACCATCCCCACCCCCAAATTAAAAGCATAAAAGTTAACACATTCTACCTGAATACATACCCATCTAGATCACACTCTAGTAAATATTACCAAATGGTATCCATACCCCACTGGTCCAATGGAATGCATAGTAGAAAAATGGAAATTGACATTTATGAAAATTAATCTCTCAAACATACTCAAATTCATATCAAATCTTATTAAAATTTTTCATAGAGCAAAACTCAGACACTAAGCAAAACCATGTAGATGTTAACCTTTACATGATTAGAAAATGTCTGGTGATAAAATATTCAATCCCAAAAACAAAAACTTATCCAGGTATATCAGATTGGGTATGTAGCTAATTGGACCACTCTTTTCCATGTTTGTCCAACAATATATTCATAAATAGGGAGGTTTTTTTTTTTTTTTTTTTTTTTTAAAGTGGGCAACCAAAAGAAAAATAAACAAATGGGATTATACCAAACTAAAAAGCTTCTGCATAGCAAAAGAAACAATTAACAGAGTGAAAGGACAATCAACAGAGTGGGAGAAAATATTTGCAAAATATACATCTGACAAAGGATTAATATCCAGAATATACAAGGAACTCAAACACCTGTACAAAAAAAAAACAAGCAACCCAATTAAAATATGGGCGAAAGAGCTAAATAGGCATTTCTGTAAGAAAGATATACAAATGGCCAACAGACATATGAAAAAATGCTCAACATCACTCAGCATTCAGGAAATGCAAATCAAAACCACACTGAGATATCATCTTACCCCAGTTAGGATGGCTAATATCCAGAACACTGTGAATGATAAATGCTGGTGAGGTTGCGAAGAAAAAGGAACTCTCATACATTGCTGGTGGGACTGCAAAATGGTGCAGCCTGTATGGAAATTGGTATGGAGGTTCCTCAAACAATTGCAGATAGATCTACCATATGACCCAGCTACCACATTTTCCGTATCCACTCATCTGATGATGGACATT